TTTTGGGAGACGGGCCCTCGGGGCCCTCTCTCCGGGGCCACTTCTTCATTCGTCCCGCGCCGTTTCCTGGCAGTCCCCGGGCCCGTGGATGGCCCTGGGAGGCCAAGGTCGGCGAAAAACCTCGGGACGCGCTCTCCTCCCTCTTCCCTCCTCCCTCCTCCCTTCTCACTCCTCCCTCCTTCCTGGTGAGCGAGGAGGAGGGTGTCGTCACCGGCATCGGCCCATTGGCTAGCGATCTATCAGCGATGCACGGCGAGCTACTCGCCTGCCTCGGCGAGCCGCTTCTCCCGTGTGAGAGGCGCAGACAGGGAACACGAGCTCGGCGGGATGGACCCGCCTCTAGCTGGCGGCGCGCAAGAGGGGTTGGGCGAGGGGGGCGGCTTCTAATACTCGAGTTAGGAAGCGACTCCTGGGAGGTCTTCGCAAGAACGGTTGAGGGCTGTTGGGGCCGATGAGAGGGCCATTGAGTCGGTCCAGGTTGGATTCAGCCCAGGGTTCAACCAGATTAGGCAATATTCATCCGCATTGGACGGAATCGAACTGGATTGCACCTGAGTGGGCTGGTTGTCGACCATGGATCTACCGTAGTATTACATGTTGCACCGACGCGACCACCGCTGCGGACCACGACCACTGCTGCGACCACCGCACTATGGATCCAAGTGGTTGTCGACCATGCTGCGCCGATGCGACACGATGCGATACGACCACCGCTGCGGACGCCGTCCGGGCCTAGCTAAGACCAGGTGGGCGAGGCCGTGGCCTCAGGAATGTGGTGTCTGAACAACATGCGCCGCGAGGTGCGCAAGAAGTCAACCGAGGAGGGAGGGGGGAGAGGTCCTTGGAGTCGGTGTCGGCGCGGAGCGCGGCATGCTTGTGCGTGTCTGTGCCTGCCAGCGCCGATGCCGAACGGACCTCCCAAGAGCGGCATCCTGAGACCCGGGCGCGTCAGCGGTGGCCCTGGCCCAGGGCGCCCCACGAGCTCACCGCGCCACTTTGAAGCCCCGCACGGTCTCGTGAGGGGGTGCTCGGCACGGGGCCCGCCCGCGCCGCCGGGCAACTCCCGGGGGCACTCTGGGCCAGCGGCACCTCCGGCCACACCTGGAAGAAGGCAAGGGGATTCGAGGAGGAGCCGGGTCCCTTCGGAGAACACGCCTCCCCAGAACTCCGTCGTCCTATCCGTTCCGAGTTACTTTCCCGCCGTCCCCCCCCCCCCCCGGATATTTGAACCCCTTCCCCAAGACTGGTTTTTCATCCCGAGTGGGCCCCTCATAGCGTTTCGCGAGAGGGGTCTCGTAGTGAGGGAGAGGAGGGGAAGTGAGGAGGTGGAGGAGGATCCCTCGCCCCGCCCTTCCCGCTCCCCATCCCCCTCAATGCCGCTGCTCCTCATCCCCGGCCCTCGGGGATCTACTGACCCGGGTCAATCCAAGTCCAGGTCAGCCGGGCTGTGCAGGCTCCTGCAGGATTCTGCGCGCGAGGCCCTGGTCAGTGCACCCCTGGCTCTGCAGGATCCTGCAGGATCTGGCGCTCTGGCTGACCCTCGTTGGCATGGACCCCCGTCCCTTGAGCCACGACGCCTTCGCAGCGAGGGGATGCCCGTGTCACGGGGAGTAGGGCCCCCCGAGAGGTGGGGGGCCTATTCCCCGAAAGACAATTGTTGGGTTGGGAGGATGGGGCTGGGAGGATACGGAGCACGACTGCGTAATCAGCGCGCTCAACATACACGACAGTACGGACGATCTAGTCATCTCTCCCAGCCCCATCCTCCCAGCCCGATTGTCGTCTTTCTGATATTGGAGGGGCCGACAACACACACACAAATACATACACACACACACACAGAAATATCAGGAACCCCACTATTTTCCATATTTTCTGGCTTTCTGTCCTCCCCCCCCCCCCTTCTCCCACATTTTCCCCTCTTCTCCTGGGAGTCGACGCTTCACTGGGTCTGTGTGTCTCTTTCCCTCTCGAGACACTCTCGGGCGGGGCCCGCCCGCCCCGCCCCGGCCTCCCCGAGGCCCGCGTGCCCGCCCGGGAGGCCCGTTGGGTGCGGGGGAACGTCCGGGGGGGGGGGGGAGGGGCGGCCTCTCCAGGGTCGGGTCGGGCGAAAGGGGGGGATAGCAAAGGGGAGTATTTGAGAATCAGCTCACGCAGCTGACTTTCCCGGCGCGTCCCGGCTCTGGGAGGCGCCCACGTATCGAGGAATGGGCCCCTCGGTGGGGCGCCGAAACCAGCTGCGTGCAGCAGATTTCGTCCCCCCCCTTTCCCTATTCCCCCCCTTTTTCGTCCGGCCCGACAGGGGGGGGGAGCCGTCGGTCCCGAGTGGGCGGTGCAGCGCCGAGGGGTCGGCGACGGGCCCCCGATGTTTCTTGGCCTTGGTCTTGTCTTCTGGAGCGTTCCCGGGCGGGGTGCGTCGGGCACCGCCCTGTGGAGGCCCTGGGTGCAGGGGAGCGTCAGGGGGGGCTGGGCGGGCTCTCCTCGGGTCGGGCGAAAGGGGGGGATAGCAAAGGGGGGGTTTGAGAATCAGCTCACGTAGCTGATTTTCCCGGCGCCTCCCGGCGCCGGAGGCGGCCATGTATCGAGGAATGGGCACCTCGATGAGGCCGAAACCAGCTGCATGCAGCAAATTTCGTAACCCCCCCTTTCCCAATCCCCCCCTTTCGCCCGGCCCGATCTCCATGGGGGGGGGGGAACCGTCGGTCCTGAGCCGGCGGTGCAGCGCTGATGGATCGACGACGCCGACCAGCCACAACCGGGGGAGCTGTGGTCCTTGCCCCCCTGGGGGAACCCGCCGCGTCGACGATCCCTCGGGAGGGGTGCCGAAGTCGAGGGGTCCCCGAGGGGGGCAGGGGCCACAGCTCCCCCAGCTGTGGCTGGCCTGCGACGGGCCCCCCGATTTGTTCTTGGTTCTGTTTTCTGGAGCGTTCCTGGGTGGGGTGCGTCGGGCACCTGCCCGCGATCCCTGGGCGATTGGGGGATCGATGCGTCCCCCCTGAGAGCCCGCTCCCCCCCCCCTGGCGTTGCAGTATCCCACTGATGGGGGCCCGGCCAAGATTGAAGGGGCTCTGGGACACACAAATGTATACACACACAAATAACAGGATTCCCTATATTTTCCCATATTTTCCCGGATTTTGTCTTCCTCCACACTTCCCATATTTTCTCGTATTTTCGGGGGAATCGACAATTCATTGTGTCTGTGTTTTTTCCCCTCCTGAAAAATGCCAAAGCCGCCGAAGACTGGGCGACGAAGGGGGAGGGGTCGTGCGCACGATGGCAGGGCGACCTCACTCGGCTGCACGCAAGGAGTGGCCCTGGGCAAGGCTGACCTTTGGTGCGCGGCTTTTTGGGGGCCGCGGGGGGACCACACCCGATAGCGCGCAGGGCGCCGCTGTCGCATCGCGTTCGGCGATCGGGGGGGCCCCCAGTGGGCCCGCACCAAAGGTCACTCCGGCGAAGGGTCACTCTTGCGTGTAGTCGAAGAGCGACCTCACGCGGTGGTTCACGCATGTCGCCGGCGCGGCTCGCTGCATTGGAAGCGCGGCGCTTGCGAGCCATCCTGCGTGCGCAGCTTGCGCGCGAGCGTCCGCGCAATGGGCCCCGCTTTTGCCTGCGTCGCCCAGCCGTTTTTTTGTGCTGCGTGGTGATCGCGCACTCGCCCCCTCGGTCGCCGGAGCGCCCGCGGCGGCCTCCCAGGTCGGGTCCGAGTGCAGTCGGACCTAGGCCCAAAGAACATCCATCAAGAGCATGAGACTTTCCGCAGGCCAGAACGCCCAGAACATCCAAGGGTGCCATCCCCAGGATGCACAAACACATCCAGCAAACACGAAGAACACTATAGGGTTGCCTCCCCGAGCCGACCACCCCGATCCTACACCTCGGCCCGACTGCAGACGGGGTCGGAGGGTCGCGTCGCATCGGCGAGGCATGGGCGCCCTCGGCGTGGATTCAACTGGGCTCCACAGCGAGCCGCATCGCCGATTCATCGGCGATGCCGCGCGATCCTCCGACCCCATCTGCTCGGACCCCACGTGTCGGAAGCTGGGCGAGGGCTGGCAAATCCGTGGCTGCTGAAACGGTCTTCCCGGAACAAGGAGACAAACTCCCGGAATAAAACCCAACGCGCCGAATGGTAAACGGCTGCTTCCCGGACAGGAAAATAAATTTCCCGGAGCTCCGTTTTAGCAGCCACGGGTTTGCCAGCCTTCGCCCGGCTTCTGAACGTGGGAGGCCTGGGGCCCAAGACGGCCCAGAAGGCGCCCCGAGACGCCGCAGCAGGGCCCCCACGAGGCCCCCAGGGCGGGGCCCGAGAGGCCCTCGACCGCCCCAGCCTTAGGAGGTCGGGCATGTCTCTTACAGGCGGATTTTGGATGAAACATGGACAATAGTCGAAACACGTGCAACAAATATTAAAACATGGTCAAAAAATCGCCACCCGACTACTTTTGACCATTCTTGAACATCCCTCCTGTAGAGGCACGGGCCCGACTGAACCCCAGTCCCCCCCCCCCACACACCTGCGCGCCGCCGATCGCCTGACCTGTGCGGCCACTGGCATGCAGGACCTGGGCGCCAGCTCTGGGGGACAGCAGGAAGCGAGCAGACCATCGCCGCGAACGAGAGGAGTCCGCCGAGGGGCCCACACAGATCCCCGCGCCGCGGCAGAAGCCACGACGGACCACTCTGGGTCCTCTTCGGCCTCTGGGGGCCCCCACCGGGCCCCAGGACTGTCAGGACAAGAGCCGGGAGGCAGCACCCGGTCCCCGGGGGACGGGGTCGAGGCCTCGGGGCCTCGGCCGGAGGCCTCCCCTTCGTGGCGGTGGGCAGAGGATGCCTTCCGAGCTTGAGCCGGAGGCGGCCGAATTGGACCCAGAAGGAGTGCGCGCGCATTTTCGCGGCGCCCTGGCGCGCCGGTCGAGCCCTGCCGCCCGCGTCTGCCCAAGGGTAGCCCTTGGCTGCGCGGAGGCCTGCGCCCGCATGGCCGCCGCGTCCGCCCGTCAGGCGACGGGCGGCGTGGTGAAGACCGGCGGGGCGGAGGCGCAGCAAAAGATGGAGGGCACGCCGATCTTGTGGTCCTGCCAGTCTATGTGCGGCTTGGTGTTCTTCACGTCCGTGGCCGTTATGATGATGCCCGTCTCCTCGATCACGCCGTCGAACATGAGCTCGAGCAGCTTCAGCGTCTGGGACACTATGGCCTCGCCGTGGAGCGTGCAGTAGTTGTCCAAGTCCTCAACGGTGAACCTTCCGTCTCCGTCCTCGTCGCACGCGTTGAAGAATTTCGTGTACTCATCCTCCAACTCCTCCTCGCTGGCGTTGGCGACCTGCCAAGAAGGCTTTCTCCGCGACGCCGCCCGGGTTTCCGCGATGGCCCGCAAGTCTGCCCTCTCCGCGAAGCCGTCGCAGTTGCAGTCGAACAAGCGAAAACACAACCTTCTTCTCGCGTGCATGTCACCCCGCTTCAGGTGCGTGCAGAAGGCGAGGAACTCCTCGAAGTCGATGACGTCGTCCCCGTTGGAGTCCATAGCGGCGAAGAGGGCCCGCCAGAGCGGTTTGTACTGCCTGTGGCTCCCGAACAGCGAGTGGAACTGGTTGCGGTCCAGCTGGCACGACGTCAGCGTGGTCGTATGCAGGCACAGGAAGAAATAAACCTGCTTCAAGTTGTACAGCTCCTTCGGGCTGAACGCGCAGTTGGGGCCGCGCTGGTCCAGCCGCGACTGCTGGCCGCCCATCTCGGACTGGCGCAAGCTCAGGGTCCCTGTATACAAGGACTTTGACGAACCAGGACGTGCGGCCAAAGGCCCAAGCCCCCCTCGCGCCGTGGAAACGCATGGCAAGAAATTAGTTGCAGTCTCCCGCCTCTGGGGGCCATGACTGGGTCCCGGGACCGTCAAAAACTACTCGTCATGAGAAGCCAGTCCCCTGGAAAGAGTTCAGGCGTGCAGACTTCTCGGGGTGCACGCCATGCACGCCATGAAAAGACTCAGGACGTCGGGTGTCTGGGAAGACTGCAGCCGCCGGCCGAAACGTTCTCCACGCGTACTTCTCCTCCGCCGGGTCTGGCAGCGCCAGGGCCCCGGACGGGGTGTGACGAAGCGGGCGCCTTTCGCACACCGCTTCTGTCCACGGTTGCAGTTTGGGGTCCATTCAGGGCCACCTTCGTACAGTCCTCCATCCACGGGCGCCTAGCTTCGCGCTTCGCGCTCTCGCGGCGCCGCCCCAGGGGAGAAGAGATGGATGAGGAGGAATCGGAGCGGAACCGTGAAGCGCGCATACCTTCGCGCCCTCGAGGGCGCCCTGGCCATCCCCGCGTGGTCGTTGCCCCCCCCCGCCCCGCTGCTGCCCGCCCGAAGAGACCCTGGTGTCTGCAAAGTCCTGGCCTCCAGGGCCCTGACGGGCCCTCGGGGAGGAGGGGGGGGGGGTGCCGGAGGGCGAAGGTGGGGGCTGTCTGCGGGAGGCGGGCGGTCCTGCCTGCCTCGAGCCGCGCGGCGGCCGCGGACGAGGAGAGCACGGCGGGGGGGAGGCGGGGCGTGCAAGAGGACGGGAGCGGCAGGGGATTCAGAAGGGACTCGGGGGGCACGAGCGGCTCGGGGGACTCTCAGGGGGGATCCCGGAGAGGAGGGCGCAGGAAGGGCACGGGGACTTGGGAGCACGGCCAGGGGCGACTGGGCGGGCTCGGAGCTGCGGGGCCGATGACTGTGGCGATGGTGGCGGGGGTAGGCTCAGGTCGGGCATGTCCTCCTACAGGGGGTTTTGGACGACAAATAAAACATATCCCAAAGATACACCCAGATGGGCATTTTTTAATACAAAAAACAGCAATCGCCCCCATACTATATTTTTGACTATCATGGCATGCTCCTCCTGTAGGGGGACATGCCCGACTTAAGCATGGGCGGCGGAGGAGGACCGATCGAGCCTGGCGCGCGCCACACGCGCTGCGCTGCCCCCCCTTCGCACGTCCGCGCCTCCCGCGTCCGCGAAAGCTAATCCCGCGGGCAGGGGGTGGCGGCCAGGGCTGGCGCAGGCGGCCTGGGCGAGGCGAGGGGCAGGCAAGTGAGGGTCGGCGGCGCAGGACCAACGAGCCGAGGACCCGCGAGGCCTACGGCTGGAGGGTTGCGGATCCATGATCAGAAGGGTCGAGGGCCCGCTGCCTCGATGCTGTGCGCACGGTGAGGAGGAAGGGAAGGAGGAGGAGGAGGAGGAGGAGGAGGAGGAGGAGGAGGAGGAGGAGGAGGAGGGAGGAGGGGACGAGGAGGAGGAGGAGCAGGAGGAGGAAGGAGGGAAGAGGAGGAGGAGGAGGAGGAGGAGGAGGAGGAGGAGGAGGAGGAGGATTATGTAGGAGTCGGATTAGTAGTAGTAGTAGTAGTAAAGTTTTTAAAAAATAAGTAGTAGGAGGAGGAGAGGAGGAGGAGTAGGAGGAGAGGAGGAGGAAGAGGAGGAGAGTAGGAGAGGAGGAGGAGGAGGAGGAGTAGAATGAGGACGAGGAGGAGGAGGCGCTCGTGCCCAGCGGCCGGGCTGAGAAGAGGGACCAGGACGAGGATCGGCAGCAGCGGGGTCGGAGGAACGTCAGCATCATTAGGACGAGTGGGCCGAGCAGTTTCTCCGTCGTCCCGCGGTGCCGTCGTTCTTTCTCCTTCTCCTCCCCCCTGCCTCTTCAGGGAGAAGGCCTGTTGTCCGCCCCTCCCCCGCTTGAAGTTGGCTGGTTTCGAGGGGGGCCTGCGAGGGCGCCAGCCTTCGAGGCAGAGCCGTCCGCAGCCGCGAGCATCGAGGACGCGCAAGAGCAGGATCAGCAGCAGTAGGACGAGGAGGACCAGCAACAGGAGCAGCATGAGCGGGAGGAGGCGGAGGCGGAAGCGGCGGCGGCGGAGGAGGGGGAGGAGAAGGAGGAGGATCGGCACGCGACGGAGGCGCTTGGGCTGAGGTATCTACAGGGGGACCGTCGGGGCGAGTGGAAAGGGCAACAGCAAGAGGAGGAGGAGGAGGAGGAGGAGGAGGAGGAGGAGGAGGAAGAAGAGGAGGAGGAGGAGGAGGAGGAGGAGAAGGAGCCGGAGGACGAGGGTGAGGATCTGATCAGGAGTAGGAGGATGAGGAGCGGGAGCGGGAGCGGGAGGACAACCGACGCGAGCGGGGACGAAGCGAACCTGCGCGCGCGCGACTCAACCTTCGACGTTATTCGCTAAAGGGTCTTAACAAAAGTAAGAAGTACCACATAATACTCCCACAACAAGGACGGGGAGCTCGAGACCGCCTGGTCTGGCTCGGGCTTCCCTACAACTAATTTCGGAATCGCGCTCTCGCCTCAATGCCGCTAGGCGTTGGTCCAGACGGCTACGATCCTTGGCAAAGAGTACGCTAGGGTGCACATGGCCGCACTCTCGTCCCGGTCGCGGCTGCATCCTTCCCCAGAGCCCCTAAGTAAATGTATGGATGCCCGTTTTCACTACCCGTGTCCTCCTCACCTCTGCTGCAATCAGGGTGAGATGCTTGAGTATTTCCCAACCCTCCTGCGTGTTGGGTCCTCGCTTTGAATGCGCAACGCCGCGCGTCCTCACCTCATCTCCCTGCTCTCGCTTCTCCTCCTCCTCGATGGCTGCATGGCGGCTCGGGTGCCATCCCTATAAACATGCCTACTACAAAGTTGGTGAGGGTTGAGAGCCCAAGTCGCGAGATGGGCGACGGGCCTTCTCCTCCTCCTCCTCCTCCTCCTCGTCCTCCTCCTCCTCCCCCTCTTCCTCTTCCACCTCCTTCTCCTCCTCGTTCCTCCTCTTCCCTCCTCCCATCAATGCCGCTCCTGCGGCTTTTGCTGCATTCATTTCGGCACACCCATCACGAAGATCGTGGCCCCCAGGGGGCCCCACCGAGGGCTCCAGTGGGCGTGTCCGCATGGCGGCGCGCCGCCGAACCCGGCATTCCCCTCCACACGCTTTCTGCCCCACGGAACTCCACCGACGGCCCCACTCGGTGCGTTCGCGTGGCCCCGCCCCGCCCATGTCGGCCCCCCCCCCGCACGTCTCGAAGCGCCCAAGGAACCCCACCGAGGGCCCCAGTAGGTAGCTGCGCCCGCATGGCCCCGCCCAGCCCATTTCGGCGCACCCCTCGCACGCTTCGAAGCCACACGGGAGCTCCCCTGGGGGCCCCGGGTGGCTGCGTCCGCATGGCGTCGCCCGGCCCATTTCGCCTCCCCCCCCCACGTTCCGTGGTCCCCGGGCAACTGCACCGAGGGCCCCACTGGCTGCGCCCGCATGGCGCCGCCCCGCCCATGTCGACACACCCCTCGCACATTTCGAACCACCCAAGGAACCCCACCGAGGGTGTCAATGGCTTCGTCCGCACGGCGTCGAAACCCAGTCCCACCCGTCCGTGCGGCGTCCCGTGGGGCGTTGGCGCGCCCCCTGTGAGGCCGTCTCGTGCGTGTGATTGCACCGTGTGCGCGTTGCAGAGCGTGGCCCGCTGCTGGCCCATTTGCCGAGGCGTCGCGCGATCTGACGTTGGACAATTGTTTTCTACGGCGCGTCCTTTGCGACGTTCTGGCGTGACTTGCCTTGGCACGTCCCCTAGCACGCCCCCCGGCGTGGCATATTCCCTGGCTCGTCTTCTGTCGCGTTTCATGACTCGTCCTCAAGCGTTTCCCCTGCCCGTTCCGTGGCGCGCCCCTTACCATGTCCCCTGGCATGACGTCTTCTAGCCTGCCCCATGGCACGCGTCATGGCACGTCCCGTGGCAGGCCCCTGACACGTTCAAGGCACGTCCCCTAATGCGTCATCTGACACGTCCCCTGGCGCATCCCCTAATGCGCCCCTGGTACATCCTGTGGCGCGACCGTGAGCCTGTGCCCCGTGTCGTGTCGTCCCTTTTCGGATCTGAATCGGATGTTGAGCTCGAGTTGAATGAACGTCCCGCAAGTTTCGACTTCAACTCGCTCTGGGCCCGCTATTTGTGCTGAGGCAGCTCGAGCTGGCGATCCAGATCAATTCGGTCAGGACTCGGATGCTAAGGAGGACTCGATCCACAACGCTATAGGGCGCAATCGCGGCATGGCACCTCGCAATTCAGCACGGCACAACACAGCACAGCCCTTGACACGGTATATCAATCTCGATGCGTGCAACATTGCATCTTCCCGTCCCCATCAGGTGTCTTGAAAACGTTGTCATTAGGGGTAAGACAAACCTACCTCGCTTTTGACCACCCTCGCTTCCAAGAGATACCAAGCGATGCCAAACTACGGCCTGTACTGGTCAGGCCGCTTGACGAGGAGGCGCGTGGTATGACTTGGTTTTTCGTGGAAGCGAAAGCGGGGTAGGTAATTCACGCTCTGAGTCATGCCCCACGTGTCTATATTCCTTCCTGGGTTCGCGGGTCGATCCTGTTTGACGGGCCCCGGGGGCTCGGTCCCAGCCTCTCGAACTCGTGATTTTTTCACAACGACGACTCCCAAAAGTCTCGACCCCTTCCCTGGGACTGGTTTTTCATCCTGAGTCGTCTTTCGACGGTCCCGAGGCCCGGTGAGGACCCCAGGAGACCGAAACTGACGAAAACCTCCCCCGTCGTGATTCTTCACAGCGCGAGGGGGCCTGGGGTGGGGGCTCCCAGAGGCGGGAAACTGACGAAAAGCTTCCGCCACGAACGGGCGGGCGAGGGGGTGAATAGACAAGCGCGATCCACTGCTCGCAAAGTAACTGCTCGCAGTCGGCCTGTATCTGCCGCGGGGGCGCTCCACGATCCATGACATCGAGGGAGGCCCGTTCTTGTCGGACGCCTGCGAGTACAGAAGGGGCGTTGACCTAAGGAACCCTAAATAAGGAACGAGGCCCCTTTTCTCCACAAGTTGAACTCCGATTTCCCATCGAAGCCCTAAGCAAAGCCGAAGGCGAACTGCAAAGCAACTAAGGAACACCGAGCCCCTCCCCAACGAAAGGGTTCCTTCCTCAGTGCCCCGACTGTAGGCCCTGTGCGCGGCGTGGAACGCTCTCGGTGAGCGACGGGGGCGGGGCACCTCCCTCGCCCGCTCGTGGAACTTCTCGAGGCTGCTGTCCCTCGAAGTGTCCTGGCGCGCGCGCGCGGCCCCCGACCAAGGCGGTGCCGTGCCGAGGGGCCTCGGGCCGGTTGCCGGACCCGGCCGCGCCCGCGAGGAGACGTCGTCGTCGTCGTCGTCGTCGTCGTCGTCGTCGTCGGCCCCGGTGCCGGAGCACCGCGGGGCGAGCTGCGCCGCGCCCCTGTCCGCGAGCGGGCCGGCTGCGGCCCAGGGGTCCCGCAAAGGACGTACGCGCCCAGCTCGGGGGGCCGCGTCTTTCCCGTCGCGGCCCTATCCGCGTCGAATCCGTGTCGGGCTCGTCGGGTCCGTGTCGAATGCGTGTCGAGTCCGCGTCGAATCCGCGCCAAATCCGCGTCGGGTCCGCATCGAGCCCGCGTCGGGCACAAGAGAAGACACCAATTTGGGGGACAGGCCAGGTCCCCCGAAGATGCAACGTACAGTGGAGACTAGTCCACGAGAAACCTTCCACAAGAACCCCAACCCTGAGACCCCAAGACGTCCATTGATTTTTTGCGTGGGAGCGTCCAGAAACCCAGGGTACCCCAGAGGCAAGCAGGGTGTCTCTTCGCATGGGTCTCCACTGTATGGCCCCGCAGTCCGCGAGACCAGCCTCGTGTTAAGAACGTTTGCGCACCGCGTGCTTCCGAAACTAACGTGGATTCATGTGCGTGTGCGTCCTTCTTTTGAGCAGGGACCGACCGCCCCGGCATTCCTATAGGCCTACCACGAAGTGCTCTTACCACGAAGTGCTCTTAGGACCCGAAACTGTTCCAATAGCGAAAACAATGTCCTTAGAACATCAAGCCGATATGTTATAACAAGCCAGTCTCAGCCGGACACGTTCCAAGAACACTTTTCGTGCAGGCCACAACAAAGGTTCCTGGAACACTCTCTGGTGGGCCTACAGGCAGGCCAGGACGCCTCGCCACTGCTGGTGGGCTTCTTTTCCATCGCCACCACCAGAAGTAGGAGGGGGAGGGGGTCTTTCTTCCTCCTCCTCCTCCTCCTCCTCCTCCTCCTCTTCTTCCTCCACCTCCTTCCCCCCTCCAACTTATGGTGGTGGTGGATGAGCAGGCCCATCAGCTGCTCGACCCTCTCGCTCCCGAAAGCCAGTCTTCGAGCCCGGCGCTCCCCCGCCCCCGCGACCGAGAGGAGGCACCGACGCCGGGCTTG